TTTGGAATTTATACTTTGTAGGATGAATGAAGTAATGCTTTTGATCTTAGAGTTAAAAATGTTGGATGATGCTACTTCCTGGATTCAACTTCTGCACTTCTTCATCCTTTGTTAAGTGTGTGAAATTGTCATGGTCTATCTTTTCTGTGATTTTGGTTGTTTGTCATTCTTGAAGCGTGTGCATATATGTTTTTTTTCTCCTTTTTTTAAAAGCTGCTCTGATTATTTGAGTTCCCTTTCTCTCAGGATGTGAAGCCTATAATCTAGGAACTGGAAAGGGAACATCTGTTTTAGAAATGGTGGCAGCATTTGAGAAAGCCTCTGGAAAGGTACATAAAGAAATTTCTACATGACCATCATGTTGTTTGCATAAGAAGACTATTTTGTTTAAATATGATTGCCTTTTATCCTCATTGTAAATTTATAAAGTTGGTTCTTTTGGATTTTGGGACTTGCATTTGTGCTTTACGTGTTCTCTTCTTCTGTCCTGGTGATTTGTTTTTCCATAGAAAATCCCTCTGGTCATGGCTGGACGACGGCCTGGTGATGCGGAAGTAGTTTATGCGTCAACTGCCAAAGCAGAGAAGGGCTTGAATTGGAAGTGAGCACAATTTTACTTATTAGTTACTTCTTACCCATATACATCCATGAATAATTCTTCATATGCACATGGGCATTTAAATTCATGGTGAAAGTTCGTGTTTTTGCAGAGCAAAGTATGGTATTGATGATATGTGCCGGGACCAGTGGAACTGGGCGAGCAAAAATCCATACGGATATGGATCACCTGAATCTGATAAATAGAAGCTAAAATACTACTGAAAGAGTTAGGGTATACTACTCTTTGAGTTCTTCGGTTAGCTGTAGAAAAGCTAATAACAAGGATGTAATGCATATACTTGCAGGTAAGTCCAGCTAATTTAAATGTGGATCTTAGTTTGGTAGTATTTTTTGTATAAAAAGGAGCACCACAGTAGTTTTATTTCAGGGATCACGCATGATGTGTTCCTACATATAGCTTATACTGCTGTCATGTAGAGCAGGTGACTCTTACAGATCCTTTGGTATACATGTTCCTTCATACGCCAGCTTGTTTTTAACCAGCTACTTGGTACATTTTATCTATGATTGTACTTCATCTTTCTAGTAACGTAACCAATTCGTTCGATTATTTATTGACAGAAATTCAATTTATTATTTTGATGTGATACAATCATGTTCATCATTTTGGTGATGCACTTTGATACATTGACGGGTTGTGCACGGTATCGTTCGGTTTTTTGGTTGCAATTTTTAACATAGTTCATGGGTTGCACGGTACCGTTCGGTATTTTAACTTTTTTATGAATAGACAGTTATACCCTAACTCCTATTACACCAAATCAAACATGTTTCACCTCCATCTTCTCCAATGGTCCATTAACAGTGAACCTATTTCCTTCCATGTCTTTTTTCATGTTTGGAGGCTATAAAAGGTCATTGAAACATCTCCTTACCTAGAACCCAAATAGTTTGGTGGGTGAATTAAATGGGCGGAGGGATATTTTGGTAAATAAATACTGATTTTTAGTCTAAACCTTACCGGGGCTAGGAATTTTGAACAGAAGACCAAACGGAGGGACTAATATCAACATATTTATTGAATCTGGGGTTTAATATCAAAATATGAAGATTTGAGGACTGATATCAAATTGGTAACGATGAGGGGCTGAAAAAAAAAATTCTATTTCAAAACATAGATGCCACTGGGGGTATAATCCGCAATTAATCCTTAAAAAATAGCATGAACTTTGTGTTTTATGTAACTAATTATATGAAGATCGAAGATAGTTTTAGGGCAAAAAACTACATGAGTTTGGGACAGTAATACGACCGGTGTTAACTTGTTTAAGAAACCATCAAATAATTGTTCTTGGCATGTGAGCTATATGACCCTCAAACTTTAGTAATTATGCTCATTAAGATATACTATCTGCGTTATACAACGGCAGCAGAGCTTTATACTAAAGTTTGACATCTGCTTTTAATTACGAATCTCCTTCTCCTTTTAGTCTTCCAAATCTAATTTCTAATATAATTCAGAAATACCCTTAATATACTACCATATTACTCATAGATCCTGAAGTTCCCCAACTCTGCCGAATTTGAGAGCGCACCCCAAATGTTAGGCATATTTTAAGAATGATTTTATGTGTCATTTAGATTATGTTACCGTTGAAATTGAAGCTGATTGATCCAGAGACACTTGCGATGTTAGAATCTACGACCGTAACTCATAACATCTACAGCACAAAGAGAATGCAGTCCTCTTTTTGTACAGAGGTAAAACCTCATTATCCCAAGTAGAGAACAGATTCTATCAAAATACCTATATAGAAATTATTTTCTTACAATTACCTTTAGCTATTAATAGTTAGAGGTTATTTTGAGAATTTTAGCTACTATATTTATGGTTCCGATGGGATTCATGTCCTCACAGTTACCTCATCCATATTTTTCTTTTAAAAAAAAGGATCATGAATATTATGTTAATAATAGTTTTTCTTACAATCACCTTTAGCTATTATAGTTAGAGGTTATTTTGAGAATTTTAGCTATTATATTTATAGTTGTGACGGGATTCATGTTCTCATAGTTAGCTCATTGATATTTTTCTTTAAAAAAAAGGATCATGAATATTATGTTAATAATAGTTCTGAACCTGTGATCTCTCTTATCCCAATCAAATAGCATACAATGTCCTTGATATCCGAACAGTAAAACTTAATTTGGGGATGCCTTCAATTATTCCCATATTTTGTTTAATTTGTTAACGTTAACTACCACATGAGTGCATATGTAGTAGGCGGCAGCCACCGGTACGAGAACAACTCAACATAACAATATGGATAATAATAATAATAATGATGTTTTTCATTCAATTATTCCCATATTTTGTATAATTTGTTAATGTTAACTACCACATGAGTGCATATGTAGGCAGCAGCCACCGGTACGAGAACAACTCAACAAAACAACAATTATTCCCATATTTTGTTTAATTTGTTAACGTTAACTACCACATGAGTGCATATGTAGTAGGCGGCAGCCACCGGTACGAGAACAACTCAACATAACAATATGGATAATAATAATAATAATGATGTTTTTCATTCAATTATTCCCATATTTTGTATAATTTGTTAATGTTAACTACCACATGAGTGCATATGTAGGCAGCAGCCACCGGTACGAGAACAACTCAACAAAACAATA